CCCCTCCCCACACAGAATCTGTGACCCAGGACGTGGATGGGAGTAATCACGATGACAGCAGGCTGGACACCAAGCCCACAGTACAAGGTACGGATTCACAAAACGAAAACGGCTTCCTCTGTGTGTGAAGCGACTGTATTCTGATCAGTAAAAAGGTTGGAGTTGTGCAATTATTAGGCAGAAAATACTGCTGTCACGGCTGAAATCAGAATCAGAATACCTTTATTCGTCCCACAGAGGGGACATTTACATTTGTTACAGCAGAAAAAAGCCAAAGACAGCTTAATGTTAACTAAGAAGCATACATACAAAACATATTAAATTAAAAAGTCACCTATTGACAACATAAAGGAATCAAAAGTTTGAGATGTCTTAATCTATCATTCTGAAATTGGCTGTGTGATCTTTTAAGTGTGTCTACTTCTTTAAAAAAACTATGATTTTATTCGTTTAAAACCAAAGATGTTTTAGTGCAAGAATTGTAAAAATAATTGCCATACCTGCTGCTGGGATTTATTTATCAACACATTTCATTATTACTCACAGCATTTATTGCTTAACTGACCAGTCAACCGGGAGGGTTTTTTAGAAAGGTTTCACAGGGAGTCCGCTCCTGAGAAGTTGAACAAAATTAAATGAAGCATGAGGCAGTTCACTGGGGCTACCATTTTGATGAAGATGGGCGTTTAATATATTTATTTAACGGACATTATTGTCTTCACAGGGATAGATTCATGAGAAATCCCACATGTAACGTCTTAAATGAACAGAAAAAGAAATGGCCGTGATCTCTCGCCCTGCCTCATCAGAGGAGAGCAGCCCACCTCTGCTCCGCGCCGTGCCAGGACCCCCGCACCAGACAGCGTGCTTGTTCAAAGCCAATTTTTAATTGAATGTCAGTGAAGCAAGAAGAGAACTGGCCACTAATTAACGCCTGTCTTAATTGTCCTCGTGACGAGTTTGTTTGGACATCATTTGCATAATTAACACCCAGTAATAAATCATTTAAAGGGGAATTGTCTGTCAGACAGCAGGGTAGGATGTGCTTCCTTTGTGCCAGGAAGTTTTATCGCCAAAAACAGGGATCAGGGGCCGAAAAACTGAGCCTTTCTTAATAACAATCTTTTATTAATGATCCTCGGTCAAGGTTGCAGCAGACCTGTTTTAATATTTATATGAATGAATTAGTAACGTACAGCATATGTCCTCCTACTGTTTCAGTCACTGTGGTCTGTCCTGAGGAATCCGTCTTATTTCATAATAACATAGAATTGTGATTTTGTTTTTATTAGACTGGATTTCTTTCTGGATTTCAGAGGGCAGAGGTTTCCTGCAGACCAGCGGGATGTACTGAAGATGAGGACGGACGGATGAATGGACCGATGAATGGAAGAATAGAGCGATGAAGATTCCTCATTTAAGAGAAATACAAAGGACAGGCATGCTCAGTCGCGTATCGTCGTGGCATCTGAGAGACACATCTGGCCTCCTCACGGGGACTCCCCTACATTTCAAAGGGTGACATTTGAACTTTTCTATTGTTCACTTGTTTAATTTATTGCACTTATCTGCAAATCTACGCCGTAGTGGGAACAGTACTTTATTCTGATGATGTGTTTGACTGTGTTTCTTTCAATCAAGGTTTTTAGATCCTAGATGAAAATGACCATTGTTGTTTTTTTTGTCAGTGCTGTTTATCTGGACACAAGTGATGAATATAACTTGCAACAGAGTTGTGTACATATAGTATATATAGTCATCCTTTTTGTTATTATTATTATTACCACAAAAACATAAAGGCATGTTGTACAGTCAGTAAATGACTTGTGTATGTTATGCAGTAGTGCAGTTTGACAATACAAACAATACAAATCCTTTTTATTAAAATTGTGTCAGTGCTTCTTTCTTCAATTACATTTGTATTCTCTTTAATGGTTGCTTATTTATATTTTTACAAGGGACTTTTAGTTGCTTTTCCTCTGAAATAGGTGGCACCTGTCTTAAATGTGGATTTATAATGTCGTTGTTTTGTTGTTGTGACAGACACTTCTGCATTCTGTGTCACAGCAACCCCTTGAGATTTGATTTGCATGTGTGGAGGAGGGGCAGGTCTATGTGAATGCATACATATGTGAGGGTTTAGAGAGTGATGTGACATTGATTCTTGCACCATCTCCAAAAACATACACGTAAGTATCGACAGACAGACAGGAAGGTGGTGAGCAGGGTCACATGTGAGCTGTCCTTTAGTGAAACATGATGACCATGCACTCCCTCTGTGGCTGCACTCATTTTAAATCATGTTTATTTCTCAGGAGAGAAACAGGCTGAGGGACTTCTCAAGCTAAACTTTGATCAGTTAAAATGTAAGAAATAGTTTGGTATATTTATAGAGAGATAACACAAGAAATAAATCAAGAATTGTGCAAGAAAGAACAGACAGTGGTGGCTATTTTATAATCTTTGCTGGCTGGCTTTCATAATTGTATTAGATGGAACTGTACCTAATTGCAAACTATTGATTTTCTTTTCGTACTTGTTTTGAAATACAGCCCTGAAAATGTCTGGTGATATAAATCAATTATATTCAAACTTGTCATTTAGAATTGGTAAAAAAGTATTTCTGCATACACATTAGAGAGATATTTGACAAAGTAAATCTGAGCTGTTTTATGTCAATAAAAGCAAAACGGCTGAAGAGGTAAAAAAAACTACACCAAGAGTTCCTCGACCGATGGGCTAATGAATGAACATTTAATAAAATATATGAAGGGTCAACGATCACAAACGCTGTTGATTGTTTTAAGACATTTGTAGCACTTAAGTTACTTTAAGACAGACAGTAGATGCTAAGAATTTGCAGGTTTCTGAGTCACAAGTAATACATCTCACATTGTTCTGAAGTCCTTTGTTGTGCCCAAAGAATCCTTGAACGCCACATTTTGCTCATTTGCAACCTTGTATAAATGTTCAGTGCCATTTCCTGGACACAGGCAGATAAGCTATCGCAGCAAGGCTAAAACAATACCTCGGTTACAAGCTATTCTTCCTGAATACAGAGTGGCTGACAAGTGAAAAGCAATAATTCACATACATGAATGTGTGAATGAGTCATCAGCTTTTTAGATGACCACCTCAGAGGCCGTCTTAAAAAGGTTTGCGACTTCATTCAACACCGCTGTACTCTTCCACACTCTCACACACACAAACAAACAATCACAAACACACACACACACCCTTCACATCTCACAGAGTAGCATTGTCCTGCCGAGAGATGTGTAATGGAAAAGATAAATGGAGGATAAAGCTAAGGTGACAGGACGGAGCATGCATGTGTGTATGTACATTTGCATCTTGTGTGTGTGTGTGTGTGTGTGTGCCCGCTTGTGTGTAGTGCACAACAGACCAGCAAACCATCTGCTCATCTCCTCTTAATGAACAAAGCAAACAGCAGGAGTCAAGGCTGTCTCCAAATCTGGAGTCTCTTTATTGGTAAGCACACACAAGCACACACACACATACACATCTCGGCGCTGTTTAATCTGATTATCTTTGATTGAGAACAGGGGCAAAGCAACCTTTTTAGACCTCTCTCCTACATCAGTGACAGAGAAGGTCTGAAACACAATTAGCAATCTGTTCCTGAGCTCTGCTCTGCAGTCACATCTGACCACAAGCAGCCAAATAGACCTAATGGGTGGGAACTAACCAATGGGAACTAACACGCACAATGCATCTATGGATGATGCGGAAACTCAACACTATTAGACAGCTGTTCGCCATATCTTTTCAAATGTACTTGGACGAAAAATAAGCATGGGATCAATTGGCTCAGGAGCAATCACAGGCGGGCATGAAGGTACACACAGGGTTGGATGTGAAGAAATCTGGCAGCCTGAAGTGTAAGACAAAGCCGGACCGCTGCAAAGGAAGTCTGGACCTTGACAAGATATGACACTGTGTGTATAAGGCCAAGAGGACCATAAGAAAAATACATTAATCTGGACTCTATGTGACCACATCCTGCTCAGGGCCCCGGGGATAATTAACAGTTACCTCTCAGTCAGCAGGCTCACCACATGGCTTCAAGACATGAAACACTCCCTGTCTGCTGCGTCTCTGCATATACAATCCATAAACATACTGAGCAAATGGATCATAAATGACAAACATTATTAAACCAGCGTCAGAGCCTGGGGAACCCTGTCTGAGGGGCATCAGATAACAGCAGGGGCGCATCTTGGGTAGGAAAATGCCCTTTATAAGAAGGATCATATCGACAGCATCCCGTTGGTGTGAGCAGGTTCCAGCTGCACGAGGGCCACAGTTAGATCTGGTTGTTAACCTGGGGGTCACAAAGTTGCACATGGAGAGGACACTGGTGTCACTGCCGTGTCTGTGTGGATGCACATGATCATTCATAAAATATATTTACAGGTTAGCTTAAAATAATTTGCTCTCATCAGCAAAATAAGTTTTATTTTCTTGAAAGCCTTTTATTTTCAAAGGTTGTTCAAATCTATTTCTCGTACGTTCTTTTATATTGTTTTATGTTGACTTTACTTTCTCCTGAAGATTTTTGGCCTGCTTGTTTTGAATGTGGATTTCCTTTTAAAACACATGAGACACATTGTATTATAATAATTATTATTAATATTACTATAAGTATTTGTTGTATGCACTGTAAAGACTGGATGTTATTACTTTTATGAAACTGTATAAATATTATTATTTGTATAATCATTAGATAAATTAAATGGAAATGCTTATATATTTTAGCAATTGAGCACTGGACCACATACATAACTTATTGATTTCCTTAATGCTCTATTCTTCCCTCAGCAATAAAGACCTGACTGTAAAATAGTCGTTTGGAAATTATCTTATCAAAATATCTGGTGATCCTCATCTCTTCCTCACTGCAGAGCGACACTGCCCTCTGCTGGCCAGTATTACTTAACGTCAGCGGACCGCAAACTCACCTTTTTTGGGCCTCTCGGGCTCCTGTAGCAGATCCCCCCTTTACCGCTGTCTCTTTTTCCTCACACAGCATGGATCCTTTCTACAACTTTATTTCGGTGATTTAGAGTTGGTTTGTGTTTGGCTTTGGGAATAAGGGACTTCGTGACCTCTTCTGGACACCATGTTTACCACCACCGGCTCTCGGGGGCTGTGTAAGTATCCCGGATCCTCGGTAAACGACAGCCGTGATGTGGCTACCCTCTCACCGCTCCTCCTGTCAGTCACAACAGCTAGCTTAGCTAACCCACGTTAGCATTGTTCTGTCATTCATTTTCTCTTGGTATTATGTAAACGTTAAACCTGCGTGTGGTTAATAAACTACATATGTATTTAGTCAGTGTGTTCAGCAAAGGTTTCGTCGTTTAAAATAATATAAATATGTGGAAAGGAGAGTCCACTGATAAGCTAAATAACCAGCTACTGTCTGCCCTGCCCCCATACAGAAATCAGCTACTTCTCTCTCTTCAAAGCTGTGGTCTAATTTACTGTAACATATTAAGCAAGATTTTGTGTGTTGTGTGTTGTGTGTGTGTGTGTGGTTTACAGACAAGGCTCCTCTGTCTAAAGGCCTCCTGCTGGTTCTCAATTGTCTGACTGTGATGCTCACCCTGCTGCCTCAGTACCAAGAGCTGTTCGTATACACTCTGCAGGTCACACAGCACCAGGTATGTCTCCTGTCTGTCTGAGAGAAGCATACACTGTTGAGGGGCTAACAACCATACCCAGTATCTCCAGATATCAAACTAAAGATATTTTAAAGCAGAACTCGTATATATACTGCCACTCTCATAGTTCTATACATTACCTACTATGTGGAGGTGTGGGGAAACTCATGCAAAACCAAGCTATAATCATTTATTATAGAATTGACATGCTTTAAAATGTGATCTGATTGTTCTTAACACAGAGATTATGTATGAAGGGCAGAATAATTTGATAACTTTCTGTTACTGTATTCAGAAGTTGTTGAAAGGAAAGGGCTAGTATGAATTTTGGACAGTTGGTATGTTTATACATCTATGCACATCTGTCAGGTTATCCTGTGTACTGGATGTGACAAGAAATCTTAAATGTGTAGTTCACTTTGCAAGCATTTCAAAATAATAATAATAAGGCTATAAATAAACATGTAAGGTATGATTATTTACAATGTTTGGAACTTTGATTGGGTTTCTGTCTCTGTGTGCTTTTGTTTTTTAGATACCTTTAACCTAGTAGTGAAAGGGTTGCCTATTTGAGTATGTCATTTCTCTAATGTAAAAATAGTATGTTTGTATCTATACATTGGCGGAGATACAAAGAGATAAACTAAACACAGGTTTTGGGGACAAAGGGTTTTAAACACTAGAATCCCTAAATACATTAATCATTATCATGACAAGGGTTTGATAATAATTGGAAATGTAGTGCTACTTGGGGGCTCTGCTATGTGAGATATAAACGCTCTGTTTTTCAGAAAGGCATCATTTCACAAAGTATCAATTTGTCCATCTTCCATCTGTATGTAAGGTGTATGTGTAGTGAGTATAACTCTTCTCTCCCCCCTGCTGCAGGTGTGGAGGTTGTTGTTTGGCAGGCTGATCTGTCTGGACGTGAAGGACGCCTTCTGTAGCAGCCTGCTCATCTACAACTTCAGAATCTTTGAGAGGAGGTTTGGAACCAGGAAGTTCGCTGTAAGTACTAATAATCAGTGATAGATTAACACAAAGATCCATACAAAGTTAATAAACTTGCTAATGTTGTTATGTGAACTAGATGAAACTACAATAGATGGAATTAGTGTGATGAATTGCCATTTCGCACTCTACTTACTCTCATAAACAAAAGCTAAATGTTAAGATCTTTTCTAATAGGATTATAAGTATGACCATCAATCAGAATCAATATAAGTTGTAGCTGTGTATCATTTAGAGAAGAGTTCACACAACTTCCTCATCTTTCACGAAGCAGTTCTCTGTGTAAACAACATTTGACAATGGCACTGTTTGTAAAATTGTAGTAAAATGTTTAAAGACATGCACAAGACTCAATCTTTTCAAGATATTTTTACAATTTTCTATATTTTGAACTTTACTTCCAGTCCTTCCTGTTTGGCACGTGGGTTCTCTCTGCACTGATGGACTTCCTGCTGGCTCAGGCTTTCCAGTTTCTGTTTGACTATGAGGTGGATGAACTGCCCTCAGGACTGTGAGAAGATTTGTCACTTTACTAGCCACAATAGATGATACACCTTGAGATAAAATAATAAGATAAGATATTCTTTATTACTACTTTTTAATTACTAATGCATGTGCTGCATGTCTCGAAAGGGAACAACTGTTTGTCACTTATATGAACACTGGAGATTCTGCAATTAAAATATGAAAAGGTGGTGTGTATTCAAAGAAGAAAAACCCGAATATTGTCTTTCCTATATTTCCTGAAAAGTACTGCTAAATATATATAGTTTTAATATCCATGTTTTTTTTTGTGATCTGTATTAAGCTGCTTTTAATACAATCTTTTCATACAATGACAAGTTTATCATTTGGATATATATATATATGATTGACTTGACTTCTCTTCGTCCTCTCTCAGGATCGCTCCGGTCTTCTCTCTGGTCGTGCCTTTCTACCGGCTGATCCCCAGCATGCCGGTCACCCAGGTCCTGGGCCACATCCACATCACCAACAAGTCTCTGGTCTACATAGTAGGCTTGCAGGTAAGCCCATGTCTGCTAGTGCGGTGATATATGCCAATTCATAATTGTTGAGAATACTCTGTCCCCAACGAGTCTGGTTTTAATTGTGTCCGTCATCCTCTCTGTTTCTGTGGGGCAGCTGTTGACGTCCGGTCCCTTCATGTGGCTCGTTGCGCTCAGTGGACTTGTAAGTAGCCACATTCTTCTTGTTATTTACTCTGTGTCTAGAAAGTGTACTGGGTGTTTCGTGAAGTCATGATCAGCACTTGAGTGGACTAGAGATCCAAAACAATAAACTTAAATGGGATAAAGATTGTGGTAATTGGCTCTAGATTGTGTGATAACATTTCACAAGTAATTTAATGAATTGTTGCTCAACAGCAATATACCTACCTTGTTGCTTATACCTTCAATCCTAAAAACTTCTTTTTTCTTTGCTTACAGATCTCAGGCGGACTGTACCACTCCAATTTCCTGTGGATGCAGAAGCTCCTCTTTGTACCTGCCTGGGTGTCTTGTATTGGGCGGTATATTCTAGAGCCTCTCTTTTCAAGTGAGTAAATCATTAAGTGATCATATAAACACAAAAGCTCCCCCAAAAAAAGCCAATTGACCCTAATGACTACTGTTGCAGGGCCTGGCATGGAGATTTTGTTTCTCTTGTGTTTGTTCATTGTGTGCACTTTGCATGTATTCTACACAGGGTGACATGTTATTGGTCTGCCTAGTAATGTGTTGTTAACATCTGTTAACATCCAGCCTCCCAGCCGAGCAGTGAGACCCCTGTGGGGATGGGGGCCACTCTGGACATCCAGAGGCAGCAGAGGATGGACATTCTGGACCAGCAGCTGATGTTGGCCCAATACAACGAGTCCACGAGGAACACCAGGCCACAGCCGCAGCCACAGGTACAGGGACACACACACACACACACACACACACACACACACACACACACACACACACACACACACACACACACACTTATAGCAGAATTGGGCCTATTCAGAATAAAACTACATACTACTTTGAATAAGGTTGATAGCTCTAGTGCATCAGGAACCAAAACACAATGGACTGAAAATAAAATGAATATAACTCCCCTCACAGTGCTTCCTAATTAGTATCTATTATGTTATCTATAAAGTCTCCAATTTGCTTCCATAGATATCAGAGAATAGTATTTCCAAAGTGCTTGATTCTGCCTCTGTTTCTGTGTGTAGCCTGGGTTCTTACAGTGGACCAGGTTGTTCCCCTCCCTCAGGCAGAGAGGACCGAACCGCCCCCCGATGCAGCCCCGCCCCCAGGCTGAGGCTCCACCCTCCACACAGTCTCCGCTGCTGGACAACTCTCCTGTGGCCGAGGAGCAGGTGGGCGTTCATCTCTGTTTCTGCCCCGACTGCATTTTCATCAGCTGATTCTGACAAAGCATCTTTTTAAAGTCTGACCTGCCGAATCAGAAAATGTTGCGTGCATGCATGACCTTGGCGATATTTAGTTACTGCCACTGGCGATTTTCTGCGCACGATCAAACCATCATTAATTAGTAAAGACCCTGGATGAGCAATTAGTACAGCTCTACATTTTTCACTGGCTGATTGGTTTACTTTGTTTTCCTTCTAGACTTTATTTACCTGTTTGAACTCGTTATCAGTATAAAAGACACCTGTCCACAACCTCAAACAGTCACACTCCAAACTCCACTATGGTCAAGACCAAAGAGCTGTCAAAGGACACCAGAAACAAAATTGTAGACCTGCACCAGGCTGGGAAGACTGAATCTGCAATAGGTAAGCAGCTTGGTGTGAAGAAATCAACTGTGGGAGCAATTATTAGAAAATGGAAGACATACAAGACCACTGATAATCTCCCTCGATCTGGGGCTCCACGCAAGATCTCACCCCGTGGGGTCAAAATGATCACAAGAACGGTGAGCAAAAATCCCAGAACCACACGGGGGGACCTAGTCAATGACCTGCAGAGAGCTGGGACCAAAGTAACAAAGGCTACCATCAGTAACACACTACGCCGCCAGGGACTCAAATCCTGCAGTGCCAGACGTGTCCCCCTGCTTAAGCCAGTACATGTCCAGGCCCGTCTGAAGTTTGCTAGAGAGCATTTAGATGATCCAGAAGAGGATTGGGAGAATGGTCAGATGAAACCAAAATAGAACTTTTTGGTAAAAACTCAACTAGACGTGTTTGGCGGAGAAAGAATGCTGAGTTGCATCCAAAGAACACCATACCTACTGTGAAACATGGGGGTGGAAACATCATGCTTTGGGGCTGTTTTTCTGCAAAGGGACCAGGACGACTGATCCGTGTAAAGGAAAGAATGAATGGGGCCATGTATCGTGAGATTTTGAGTGACAACCTCCTTCCATCAGCAAGGGCATTGAAGATGAAACGTGGCTGGGTCTTTCAGCATGACAATGATCCCAAATTATTTTATTGCTATTTGAGATGTTTACATTTTGAATTGTTTATAATTTCTAGTCTTTTAATTTCTCTAATGTACAATGCCTTGTCTTTTTATGCTGCTGCTGCTGCAACGCAAAAATGTCCCAAATCTGGATCAATAAAGCACTTCTTAGCCTATCTTAACTGCTGCTTTCATTTTGTTTAACCTCAGGTTGCCCTGTTGGTGGAAATGGGCTTTACCAGGACAGATGCCCTGGAGGCCCTCAGAGCTTCAAACAACGACATAAACATGGCGACCAATTTCCTCTTGCAACACTGAGAGAGTGAGAGAGCAAACAGAGGAAGACAGAGAAAGAGATCAGGAAGAGGAGAAACCAAAGGAGCGAAAAGCAACACGGAGGAAATGAAAGACAATGAATGATGGATAAATTGTACAGACTGTGTCACTGCTCGCTGAAGCAGTTGTCAGGCTGACTCAACCTGAACCAGTTCCGATATCAGGCTGATTAATGAAGAGGTGTGAAGCACAAGCTGGGAGACATTTGCGTCATCGCTTTCTGAAGGCCGCTGTAGTGTGAAACAGGTGTCATAGCTCAAGGCAGACGAGTTACACCTCTAGATCTGAGGGGTTTCCTGGGAAAAATATACGGCAGTGAAGAGAATATGAGGTGATTATTTCCTTGAGGCTGAAGCACAGGAATCAGCTGCCATCCCACTTACAGCTGTTGGAAATAACATTTTATAAAACCCACTGTCCTGTAATGACACTCTACTTTCAAAACGGCTTACCATCAGAAACAGGTTTATTGCCAAGTAGGTTAACACATTTGCTTTGGTGTATAACTAGCATCTTAGACCCTGATTACTGCTAAGAAATGATCAATATGACAACGAAAAAGAGCATTTCAAATGGATTTTACGCCATTCATTGTTGGATATATTTTTTCTTCACAAAGACAACAGGAGTAAAACATGAATGAAGCACCTGCTAGAAGTTTATGATTTAACTACAGGAGGTGCAGTGTTTCATAGAAGTTGCAGGGCTCCACCCTTTCCTGCGTGCGATGTTTTAACAAAGCCTCACTGACAGTAACTGTAGGAGCCACTTTTCTCCATTCGTCCCTCTAAAAGTACATTGTGGGTGACAGACAGCTATCTCAGGGTCTTTGATGCGACTTCTCCCAAAAATGACGACATCATATTTACAGACATGGGTGCCCATACGTAAACAAAGTATCCATTTGAGGAGGAGGTCATGTTTCACACTATTGTTTCTGTATTATGTCATTTCATGCACTCACTCCCCAGATTTTATTTATTCTGTCTTAACTGAGTTTGAGTCTTTCTCTACCAGCACACATGTCTGGATATTGTTAAATCTTAAAAGGCTGGTGATATTTATTATGCAATATCATGAAAAGAGACATTTATGGAGACTATGTACGGCATAGTTTCTACTTTGTGTATATAAACATGTACGAGAGAAGAAACATTGCAGCCACTGTGTATTGATGTCAAAGACATGCTAGTTTTATATTTTGTGCGTAATTATTAATAATATATGACCACTGAGATGAGTGTCATTTCTGTGTATGTATTCTAAGAGTGGTATAATAGTATATGGGTGTGATGAGGAAGTTGTTGCATGGACAACTTTCTGGTGAATTGTAATGAATCATTTGATCTGAAGAATAAATCAAATGTCAAACACAATTTTTGCTAATATTGATTTTCCTGAGTATTTACTTCATCTGATCCCAGTATTCACTTACACTCCTGTTACTGAGTTTTAGGTAGTAGCTAAATCTTGAATAGCAACGCTACGCCAATAAACATTTATATCTGGCTCTGAAGTGAAGTGTACTTCTTGCGCCAAATCCATCAAAGTTTATTTATTTAGCCCATTTATTTGTACATGAATTTTCTTTTTCTTGTGTTTATTTATTCCTGTATTTTCTTCCACATTTATTTAAATGTTTTCTTTCACATTTATTTATTCTTATATTTTGTTATTCCTGTATTTATTCTGTATTTATTTGTTTTGTACTTATGTCATGTTCTGTCCTCCATATCTGTGTGCTCGTTTTGTGCAAAAAGGTACAAATTCACTCAAACACATCACAGCATGACCTATAGTTGGGCTTTCATTGATTTGAAAACACATTAGTCTATGCATTGTTTTTTCATGCAGTTGCTCAAGGTTCAACACACAGGGGAGGGACATATTGTGTCTTCTGCTATGCTGATGTTAAATCTGGAGTAATTGTTCACACCACTTTTTCTAACAAACATTTACAAAAGTCACCTGTAATAGTTACCTTATTTAGGACTAGATGCCGTTTGCATGGTGGAGAGCAGCAAGGTGATGAAGGGACCTTTGAAGACAGCGCCACTGCAGCGCATGCGCACTTCCTATCTCATAATGACTTTTTATCTCATTATTTCGATTTTCTTATCTCATAATTATGACTTTATCTCATTATTTCGATTTTCTTATCTCATGACTTTTTATCTCATTATTTCGATTTTCCTATCTCATAATGACTTTTTATCTCATTATTTCGATTTTCTTATCTCATAATTATGACTTTTTATCTCATAATTTCGACTTTTTTATCTCATGACTTTTCATGGGGATTTTATTTTTTTCAAGTGGCGGAAATAGGCTTCCATAATGGAGCCACTTTCTTAAGAGATTCAGTATCTTCCAGAAACTCCTTCAAATCCAAAGCAGCTGCAACGGTTTTATTCATTTACTTCCTTGTGAGTCGTCTGTTGTCTCCAAGACTACCTGAGATGTGTCAGACAGAAACCAGTTTATATAAAACATGACAATTGTGTGTATTCGTTAATCTGCCTTTTGTCATCTTCTCTCTCCAAGTACCCTCTTAGAGATTCTTGTATCGGCTCTTTTATACTTTAAAAAATAATCCACTGCAAAGATGAATGATTCCTCTTTGCCTCATAACATTCAAATGGTTCCGTCACAATACATATCTAAGAAAAAAACTTAATTCACAAGAAATGTAATAATCCAGACAAGTGTCTCTCAAACTGTATCAATATTTTTAATTTCTCCAGGTGTTAAAGAAAAGCAATAAAGGTGGGGTTTTAGTGGGATATTTCGCACGTTACTGTTTGTATTTCAGGAGAATACAGAAGCTATTAAACATAAACTAATATTCACTTTGCGGCGGTATGCATTTAAAGGCTTGCATACTCTCAATGGAAAGCATACATTGTTCAGCGTTTCAAAGAAAGACATAACTGTAGCAAGATATAACAAGATTTGAACAAAAAAACATGTTCATATTGTTTGGTTTCCTTTCATCACTAGATGGAGACATTGAGTGGGGTCTGTGGTCCTGTTGTTGCCACTGAGCTCTGCCACACCCACCCTCTCAGATTATTCCAGTGAGCAGACAGCTCCAGCAGACAGTCTCGCTCCAGGGTGGCTGAATTTCAAAAATGATGCACATCTTCAAGTCACACAATTTTTAAGCATGTGGTTTGCCAAGTATTCCCTGATTGACACAAAGCAAAAAAGGACTCTTTGAGCAGCTTTTGTCTTCCATCTCGCATGTGTTGCACTTCAAATCTCACCTGAGCCACTCAAAAAACATGTTTTGTTTTGACGAAAAGGTCTCCTGAGTTCACAGTGACACAGTTCCTTTCAGCCGGAGCTGAAGTTGAACCCAGTCAAGTGGTGCAACTTTTAATGACTGCCGAATTGAAAAGCAGCTTAAACCAAAGTGATTAATATCTGTGTGTGTGTCTTTGTGTTTCAGTATTTAATTAAAAGCACTGATGAAAGGAAAAAGACTTTACTGACAACCAAACTCATTAGGGAGATTCTTTTGTGAAATGCCCACTTAATGTGCAGCATTAATCACGCTTCATTTGGGGCCCAATTATTTTGATAATATTTTTTGGAGCTTTAGGAGGTTGTTTTAGTCCTTTTTCAAATTCCAAAATGACTGTAAATGATCTATCAAGGGTACCATATGTGAACTTATATTGTCATTATGTGTGAGCAAGCATGTCTTTATACAAACTGTGTGAAAATGTACTTGCATGTCCTTGTGTTAAACCAGGAGTATCAGCTAGAATGATGATGAATGTTCTCAGGGTTTTTCCATGTCTGGCAGGGAAACGATGATCATTTACTGTACAGCAGACTGGCCTTGAAGCATCAGCAGTTGTGTCGGGCAATTTGTCATTTCAGGTAAGCCGTCTGTGGGTCTATTAACCAAGGCCTACTGTATGCTATGACGTGCCTCTACTGTAGATCAACAGAGGGATGTCTATTTGTGTTTCTCATCCTGAATCTATCCTTTGGACAGAACAGTTTGAGTTGTAAATGTTAATTATCAAAGATTTGCAACACTCCAAGGAGTTTATTGTTATCCATCTCAACTTGAAAAACATAAACTTCTTTGGAAATTGTACATTTTCTATCAGTTTATGTATGAGTCAAATGCTAGGGCTTGAAAAAAAAGTCCAAACTTAGCAAATTGTCTATTTCCAGCTATAGTTTTATAGATTAAACATAAAATATTTAACAGAGTTCGATTCAGAGAGGCCTGCATTTTTTTTGGCAGAGCCATTTTTCACTTCGCCACTTAGGCAGAAGTGACGTAACCTGCCACCCAGGACAAGAGACGAGCATGAATACATCATTTTCCCACAAAAATATCATAAATATAATATTTTGAGAATTCATAACTTTGGAAGGCAGCAGGCTATTACTAATATTTAAAAAAATGACATCTCACAAGAAGAAAAGCACAGATGGGATTTAACACGCTTAAAGTGGAAATGCGCCATAAGTGTGAACAGAAACAAACCAAAACAAAGGGTTAAAAGATGCTAAAAGGGGAGCTTCGGAGTTAGGTGTTAGTTCCCTGTTGGTTTGTTTTTATGAGTCACTTCTTTCACTTTTCCCTTTGTCTTTGATCCAAAGTTAATACAAAATATTAATAAACATAGCTTTCACATAAGGTCCACTATAAAATAATTTGTCATATTTTGGAAAATGTACACTTACATGTCAGTGTCAGTATTTATTTGCAGAAGTAACATGTTAGTGTTAATGTTTCCGTGTGAGTGAACTACTTGCTGATGCTGTGCTGCTGGCATGCGTGTATCACTTCAAACAGCCAGAGGCCAGCACCAGCTCTAACCCTGTCTCCGCTATATTCCCTCACCAGCTCTGTTGCCATGGTGAGTGCATGCCGTTTTGTGTGGTTACCATGGGGACATGCTTATTACAGCTTTCCTCCTGCTCCCATCATGTTTCTGCATGATCGTTCGTTTGTATGCCTCTTTATTACACTAATGCTTTAAAAAAACACATTAGCAGCACAGGAGAATGCCCTGAGGGAAGCTTTCTGCAGAAACATGTCAAAGTATTTGTGACGCCGTTCCAGTGGATAGCTGAAATACCAAAGCAGCTAAATGATTTTCTTACTGTGTCATTGCATGTGAAAGTGTCATGTTTGAGAATAATCCAGAACAATGCCGTCTCTTTTTTCTTTCTCACTTGTGCGGACAAAGCTATGGTAGGCGAGAATGCCAAATGCCTCCCACTGATGATATTGAAGGCAGTGGGATTTGAGATAATGACATCATTTGTTTGCTTGATTCATTCGACGCACAATAACAGTCTGTCCATGTCCTTTACGCTCACAGGTTATCTGGTTTCTGTATGTTTACTCTATGTGTGTGTGTATACCTCTTCCACATGGAGGGGCGTGAGTGCGCTGTGCAGCCTGTGGGAATGTTTGCATTCAGTTCTCAGGGCAGAGAGCAAGCGGCAGAGGCCATTGATGTTTTCCCCAAGTCATTTTGACACAAACCTCATAGTTAATGGGGCACAACAATGTACCTGCCCTTAGGCCATTCGGGCGCTTGGCATTTCACTTCTATTCTGCTGGCTCCTGTATGCCACTTGCGGTCTGTTTAGTCTGTGCTTGCTTCGGCTACATCAAAAGGAGAGCAATCTTCTTTAATCGTTAAGGCTTGGCTCTGGTAACTTTAGGATTTGTGGGTTTGTTCAACGTGTTTTTTCTCTTTCAGCAATGGTGACAGCTCGTGGTGTGCAACTTGTTTTTTCTCCCTTTTCCTTTTGTTTGTTGACATCTCACACTAGATCTGTGCCTAGACTTGCCTGAGTCCAATTAAAAGAAACCCAGAATCCCAAAAGATGTTCATATGAAAAACCTTAATTTGCAACCCAGCCGTCTCCCAAACAGCACTCTCTGCTCCAGATCTCAATCAGCATGACTGTGAGGTAAACAGCCATTAATCTTGACCATCACCCGTCACTGACCCGGAGCATGTCGGTCCTTGTGTCTACAAAATTAGATAGCTTTGGGAATAGTTGGCATTCCACCATAGGGACCACATAAATAGCATTTGGATGTTTTGAGAAAGACATGATTAACACCTCTGTATGTGAAGTAACCCAAAAAGGTTTATTTGATTGTGGTTTATTTTATGGCAGATGTTGCTATTTGCACCCAGTGACGATAGTGAACAGTGCTATTTTTTTAATCAAAATGAGAGATATGAGCAGTGAGGTTAAAGAAGGTAAACTGAATACATTAGATGAAACAAGACACATACAAAACATTAGACATGACATGAGATATGAGTAAATCGGGTACAGGTTTCTGAACCAGGATTTGGTAGCACTCTAAAAGTGATCAGGAAGCGAGTTGA